TGTGTGTGTGTGTGTGTGTGTGTGTGTATGTGTGTGTGTGTGCAGCAAACAGACTCATGGGAAACTCTACAGCTCATGTATGATCCTGTAAACTCCTGACATGCGACTAAATCAAACTGGTGTGTCTGTTCATCATACTCACAGACTTCAATATTAACGCTGTGTTGTCCAGGTAATCCTGACACTGGGCCTGTAGAAATGATATCTGCTGCTGCACAGGCATCATGTTGGGGCTGATGGGGAAAAAAACGATTATATCAATCCTGCCACCTTCTTCACTACTTATTTGCATGCAATGATCAGTATCTACAGGCATTACAGACATGCAGAAATGGGGTTTTCACTGCTGGCTCTTCAATATTTCCCTGACAGCTCTCCATTATGTGTCATAACTGTTATCAGAAGCTCATCTGAACGTTGACTGATTTATTGTGCTTTATGACCAGCTTGTTCCTCGCTGATTTACGGCGCTGCATTCCTCTACCATCCTGCGAAATCTCTCAGTCGAACCCGACACAAAGACGCCCAACCAGCTGGTGCAGAGCTCCCGCGCCAAAAACACTGCAATAAATCTCCTGAAAATGGCTGTTTTTGGTTCCTGACTAATATTTGTCATATTATATTATATTACATGTTATATATTTCCAGCTGAAACTGATGGTTTACAAACTTATCATTGGTTATTGATCACTTATCTAATTAATAAACTGTATAAAGACAGTTTAACAGTGTGTAGTAGAAGAAGTCTCTTCTCTACATATGGAAATAAAATATATAAATATTAAATACTTTTGTTTTTAATATCATTTTATTTTTTATTTATATAAACTTTATTTATATAAATGTATTTGATGCATTCTTTTATTTATGCATTCTTTTTATTGCTATTTATTTTTGTCTTTTTCGTTTATTATTAATTAATTAATTATTTTTATATATTTATAAAAAATATTACTTTTAATGTTTTTATATATATATATATATATATATATATATATATATTAATTGCATTTATATGCATTTTATTTGGTGCATTATTTTACAATAACATCTTGACCAGGCATTCTGAGTTCTTCTAAAACAAGTGATAAAAAGTTGAAAAACAAATAAAAAGCAGCCAGTTTTAACTCTCCGAGATGAGCAAACGTGTCTGATTTGAATGGAGGATATGCATATGAAAGCACAACAGAGTCGTTATTCATGTTTATGACCAGTAGCTGCCAAATGACTCATGAACTTGTGCGGAGCGCTTGGATACAGCAGGCAGCGCCTTTTCCACAGGATCCTGTAATTACTGAGTATGCAGATCTACAGGACGCTCTGCACGTCTGAAAGTGCAATGTAAACTCATGCAGAAACGGAAACAAAGGAGCTGACAGTATCAGCAGGGGTTGTGTTACCGAACGACCAGCAGAGGCCTACATTTACACAACTACACCTCAGCCTGACCTAAAGACATCCAGCTTTATATACTCCAGAGAGAGATATGAGAGCCTTTGATGTGCCTGTTATAAACCTTTGAAACGGTTTCGTATTATGATACAGTTTCACCTCGATTGCACTAAGCACTTCATGTATTTATTTAGTTTTTCCTCAGAATTTAAAATTCTTCTTTTAACTTATTTGTTTGAAACAATTTTATATTTTGTATTTATATTTATAACTTGCTTTAACTTTTGCAAACAAAAACTAATCATAGAAAAAAAACTTTGCATTGGTGTACGTTACATTTGCATATTAGTGCTTGAATCCTGTCAAATAAACTTCTTTTAAATACTTTTGTAAAACACGTTTTGAATAACTAAATTAATATATTTTTTTATATGTTTCACGTTATGCCTTACATTTATTTTTGTATTTTTACCCTTTTAGATTTTCTGTAAACTGTTGCAAACAAACACAAATCATAAATAAATGTTATATTTGCATACTAGTGCCTTTTTATTTTTTAATTGTTAAATTAATATTTGTATTAATATTTTAAATTAATATATCTTATTTTGAATTAGATTTATTTTGCGTTTATAAGCTTTTAATTTCCCTGTATAAAATTAGCTGGAACTTTTGCAAAACAAAAACAGAGAAAAAAATATATTAAATTAGTGTCCATGTTATATTTGCATATTAGTTCTTATTTATTTTCAAATAATATTTTTAATTATATAGCATTTTGTATTATTTTATTTCGTATTTTTAAGCTTTTAACTTTTCTGTATAAATTATGCTGAAACTTTTGCAAACAAAAACAAACGATAAAAAAATACATAAATTAATAACTAATTTTAACTAATAGCCTATACAAGTATGTATTATGTAACATTTCGCATTATGTGTATCTTTTGTATTTTTAAGCTTTTATTTTTTTGTATAACTTGCTGAAACTTTTGCAAACAAAAACAAACGATAAAAAAATACATGTACATAGTGTTTTTTTAATTACTAACTAAATTAATAACTAATTTTTTTTAAATGACTTTAAGCTAGCATATATAAATATGTATTATGTAACATTTCGCACTATGTGTATGTTTTGTATTTTATTTTTTTATTGTTTTGTATAACTTGCTGAAACTTTTGCAAGCAGAAATCATTAAAAAAATACCTTACATATTATATTTGCATACTACGCATATTAATGCAAATCAAAAAAGAAAGAAAGAAAAAGTGGCAAGTAACAGGTGTTCACTCACACTTGGCCGCCGCTCATCGAGCCTCTGGAGAAACTGTGGCTGAATCCCTCCGCATGCTCCTGGGTGAAACCATTATTCCCCCGCTGCACCACCACCTCGCTCCGCGCGTACGGATACGCGGCGGCCGCGTTCAGCTCGCTACGCGATCCCGTGCGGCGTCCCATCATGCTGAGGCTGCGTTGCGAGCCGTGCATGCTCATGACTGCACCCGGGGTGACCTCTAAAAATGGTGGAGTTTAAACGCGAACCTGAGCTCAGATCCGCAGGTCCAGATCAACCCAGCCGTCTAGACTCTCCGCGACGCTCCGCTCGGAAGAGCCGCAGTTTAGGATCCGAAGTCACACCCACTGACCTCCATCTGAACACACCCGCCTTCACATGCCTGGAGGCGTTCCTGATCGAGCACTGTGACATGCACTAAACTATTTTAGACAACATTGTTGCTAATTATCATCATGCATGCGGATTTATGACCTCAGATGCGTTTATAACCCATAAACGCATTTGCAGATCCTTGTAAGCGAACTGCAATAAAAAAAAGTGCTAAATTAGACTTTAAACTTAGTGTTTAATCTGTGATCAAATTCAAAATGTGCAATGCAAATGAAGCGCAATGTAAACTTTTCACAACATGTACTTTGGCAACACTGAATATGTAAGCAAGTCTGATGCATTTAATAAATCTCTTGAATACTGAAAACACTGTTAGAAAAATATATTTTAATTATTTTAAAACGAACTGTTTTTAACATTTCAGGAATATGCATGAAACTATTTGAAACAACATAGCTGTTCATTATCATGCATGCAGATTTATGACCTCAAACCATATAAAGAATGTTTTGCAGATCCTTTTAAGTGAACTGCGATAAAAAAATAAAAAAGTAATCATTTAATGCTTTTTTGTAAAAGTTTAATCTGTAACTAGATTGAAAAGTTTGTGGACAAACTTTAAGTTGGCTTGAAAAAGCCTAGCCAGAAAAAGCTTTAAAAGCTTGCAGTCTGAAAGTTTTCAGTTTGAAGTAGTTTGAAAGTTAAAATAGTTTTAAAGATTAAAGTTTGAATGTTTTCAAGGCAATACAGTCTATCAGAAAAACAGTTAGCAGGTATAAAACACTGCTAGTGTACCTGGGGTGGTTTCTAGGCTGTTTCTCGCATGACTAGCATGTTGCTAACATGTTTTTATAATGGTTAACATGTTGCTAGCATGATTAGCATGTTGTTAGTATGATTAGCATTTTACCAGCATGTTTTCTAACATGGTTAGCATGTTGCTAGCATGATTAGCATGTTGTTAGTATGATTAGCATTTTACCAGCATGTTTTCTAACATGGTTAGCATGTTGCTAGCATGATTAGCATGTTGTTAGTATGATTAGCATTTTACCAGCATGTTTTCTAACATGGTTAGCATGTTGCTAGCATGATTAGCATGTTGTTAGTATGATTAGCATTTTACCAGCATGTTTTCTAACATGGTTAGCATGTTGCTAGCATGATTAGCATGTTGTTAGTATGATTAGCATTTTACCAGCATGTTTTCTAACATGGTTAGCATGTTGCTAGCATGATTAGCAAGTTACTGGCTAGTTTCTAACATGATTAGCATGTTACTAGCATGTTTGTTAGCATAATTAGCTAATAACTAACATGTTGTTACCATGATTCTAGCATTATTAGCATTTTAATAGCATGGTGTTAACATTTTGTTAACATGATTAGCAATTTACTAGCATGTTTCTAACATAATTAACATGTTACTAACATGTTGTTAGCATGATTAGCCTGTTACTAGCATGGTGTTAATATTTTGTTAACAAGATTAGTAAGTTGCTAGCATGATTAGCATATTGCTAGCTTGGAGTTAGCATGATTAGCAAGTTACTAGCATTTTTCTAACATGATTAGCATGTTACTATCACGTTGTTAACATGATTGGCATGTTACTAGCATGGTGTTAGCAGGATTAGCAAGTTACTAGCATGGTGTTAACATGATTGGCATGTTACTAGCATGTGTTAGCAGGATTAGCAAATTACTAGTATGTTGTTAACATGATTAGCAAGTTACTAGCATTTTCCTAACATGATTAGCATGTTATTAGCATGTTGTTAACATGATTAGCAAGTTACTAGCATGATGCTAACATGATTCTAGCATGATTAGTATGTTGCTTGCATGTTTTTAGCATGGTGTTAACATTTTGTTAGCATGATTAATAAGTTATTATCATGTTGTTAGCATGATTGTAGTATGATTCGCATGTTACTGGCATGATTTTACCATTATTGGCATGTTACTAGCACGATGCTAGCATGTTTTCTAGCAAGTTGCTAGCATGTTACTACCAAAGTGTTAACATTTTGTTAGCAAGTTACTAAAATTTTTCTAGCATGATTAGCATGTTACTAGCATGTTGTTAGCATGTTTCTAGCATGATTAACAAGTTACTACCATTTTACTCCACCTGCTTCTGTTCTTCCTGATTATGTTCCCTGTTTATAAGTCCTGTGTTCTCCCAGGTCCTTTGCCCGCTATTGATTTGGATTTGTGTTGCTGTAAGTTGGATGTACTCCTGGATTTATTATTAAATACCCTGTTTACTCTGTTCTTTCGTCACGCTCTTCATTCCAAGCCAGCAGCAAACCGTGACAGATATATTTCTATTTATTTTAAAAGCATCTACCTTAAATATTTCAACAGTGCATAAAACTATTTTTAAAAACATAGCTGCATGCGGATTTATGAGCTCAGATGAATATACTGAATGTTTGTTTGCCTCTTTTAGAGTTTCATCCGTAACTAAAATTAAAAATGGTCAAAAAGTGAAATGCAAACTTTTCACAACTGCTTGAATATTTCGTATTGAATATTTAAGCAAGTCATTCAAATTAAAGTCCAATGCATTTAATAAATCTCATGAATACTAAAAACACTGCTGTTTTTGCTTCCAATAGTTTATATAATATTATAGAATATATATTTCCATCTGAAACTGATGGTTTATAAACGGATCATTAATTATTGATCATTTTCAATTAATAGCAACTGCTTTTAACTTTTTAATATGCATAAACCTATTTTAAACATACTTGTTACTGATAATCATGCAAATGTATGATGAAATAAGAGTGAAATATTTTTTATTTTTAGAGTTTCATCTGTAATTAAATTCAACTTAATCAAAAAAAGTGCAATAAAAATATTTAAGCAAGCCATTAAAGCTGATTTTGGTACTTTTTGACTAATATCCATCATGTTATATTACATTACGTGATTGATATTTCCTCTGAAACTTGAAAAATGATTAGTTACAGATCACGTAAAATCTCATTAAAATGTAATTTCCACCACAAAATAAACGATGACTGGCGATATGGTGGAGATGTTGGACATAGTTAGTCAAATAAAATAATCTAGTGTGCTTAAAGTATGATTTTATATTAGTGCACATGACCGAAAGTGCCTGAAGTTGAAGAAACACCCAATTTGACAATTGCTTTTACCAACCTAATAATGCAGCTTGAATCTTGGGAATGACGGACAATGGAGTGACAGAGAGAGGCGAGTTTAACCAGAGTATCAGGTGAAGCGTAACATAATCAGTTTAGGCTTTTGGGAGCAAAACACAAACAGTCTCTCTCTCGCTCGCTCCTTCCCAGAATAATAGAGAGCGTTTCTAATCAGGAGGGTCTTTCTGACTCACTTCCTGCTGAAAAAAGCACAACTGCATCCTGAGTTTCCTCCAGTCACACATTCATGCATGCTGACCTCAACACAAGAGGATTTCCCTCAGACGGACAATAATGCACAACGTCTGTGCATCTCGTAATATGTAATGGGTGTTTGCACAGAAACTTCTCTTGGGTTTCCAGGCATGTCACTTCCTGTCTGCATGTTAGTATGGATGCCACTAGTAGTAGTACTTAGCAATTAGCAAACAACTCTAATTACTTTTGGATCTAAGAAAAGAGCTTTTGCGGAACTATAACTCATTTGTTTTCCAGTCGGTGACGGTGGTTATTTTCCAAGCTGCTCATTTGTTTGGAGTGAGGTCGTGAGGGCGTGTCACTGAAGCTGTTGAACAAACCAGTTTCGATTGTGTTTATTTGAATATTTGATCAGTCATTGTGCTGCATGTCTACACCAATCCAGACAGATTTAAGAGATTTGAACACATGCATGCAAACATGTAACATTACACATATGTTATGTTAAGCAGCGCACATTTTTGTGCATTGCGATCATAGGCTCAGGCTTATTAGCGTTTTAGTATTTTATGTAGATCGACTTATTTGAGCCCTACTGGTAGATGCTGGAACTACACGCTTATGATAGCAAAAGGCCTGTTTCTCCATTGACACACATTCAAAAGTAGGTGTGTATTGTTCGTTAGACGTATCATTTTATTGTTGATGTTTTATCATTGACAGATTATTTTAACTGAGACAGATTGCACATATATGTTCCCCCGTCTGCTGCCTATGAGCGATGTGTCACCAGTTTATTTTAGGGATGCACCGATATGAAAATTTTGTCCGATACCGATAACCGATTATTCTTTATTTTTGAAAGCCGATAACCGATATGTTGGCCGATAAATCTATATCCAAATTGTTATATACTTTTTGAGAGCCTGATTACAAAAAAGGTCTCATCATTAAAAGCCACATCCCAAACACTTCAACATAAGCAGCCTAGTTTGAACGGTGTACGTTTTAAAAATATTTTTACTCTCCCATTACCAAATTTAGTCATAAAAAAGTCTTACAAATAAATAAAATAATGCAAACAAGTCACTGGACATCATTACACGTGTAAAGAATCAAAATGAATGCGCCACAGATCAATAAAACAGAATAGCCTCTGCACGGACAATAATTAAATGATTTTAATTACTAAACCATATTGTTGATGAAAATAATAAGAGAAAAATACAAGTGGTTGTTGTTATTAATAATGTATCAATGATTTTGAAAAAGTAACAAATTAATACCACTGTTTTAAATAGCAGCCGTTGAGCTGCACGTGCTGAAGCTGAAGAGCTGAATGAACACGGTAAACTGAAGCGTTTTGCTGGCAGCTTATTTAACTCAAGGAAATGCATCCTGAGATTAATATTAATACAACATAAACATAATATTACAACTTATATATGTACAAAATGACGCAGTTATTGCGTGCTATAGTCAGAATGTGTGATCCTGTTGTGGATGCGCTCTTCCCATAACAACGCGCTGAAACACGGCAACTAAACCCAAAGAATGCACAACGTTTTATTATAATAATGTTCTCATTAGAATGTTATATACACAACATTCCCAAT